TGTGCCACCACGCCCGGCAGATCCCTGACTCTTAACAGAGCACATTGCTTTAAGAAATTGTCCGGTTATGAGAATGTCTCTATATGGTCATTTTAAGTTTCTTAAATTCCTTCTACTCCATAAGCCCAACAGTAACTATACTCTCTGGCCACTCTTCAGAGAGCGGCAGAAACTACTTTAGAACTAGGAACGAAAATGAGTAAAGGGTAACAGTTATTCACAGGACAAGACTTCACAGGTACAAAATGTATCCAACAAGTCTACTCATGCAAAGGCTGACCTGTTTGCTTCCATCTGCTAGTCTTTCCTCCACTTCCTTATTCCCTCCCATCTTTCTTTTCTCAGCTCCAATATTGGCTTCAAATAGACCTTTCTCTCTAGCTGCAACCCCGCCTTCCCTGCGGCTCCCTTGTCTGTGTTCTCTTTGGTCTCACTGTCCGCCACCAGCAGAGGCAGCCTCTGTCTTCTGCGTGTTCAAGGGGTCCCACGCCTGCCTTCTGGAATGAGCTTCCCAAGTCACTGAGCAGAGAATCAGGAGCTCTTGCGTATTCTGGCGTAGATACCTGGGAAGCAGCTCCCCAGAAAGCGGCATGGCAGCCTCGCCATGACTGCACAGTGTTCCGCCCCACTTCAGAAAACCTGCCTGAAATTCAAGGGTAGAGCTAGAATGACAGTTTCAAGTTTGGGGTGCTCTCTTATATAAGCAACCAGTTCCCTTTGTTACTAATTGATACCATAACAAGTCACACCAGAGTTTGATGAGATTGTAAGGAAAGTACCAAACACGAACCATTTACTTCTTTGACTTGTTTTTCTCTTCTTAGCTAAAATATGTTTCTTCCCTTCCTATATAAATCTTGAAAAAATATATATATAACTTAAATACCAGTCATAATCTTACCACTTAGATGTTATTACTCTTATTATTTAGGTATACACTTTTAGGCTTTTAAAAAAATTAAACATGCTTTTAATTTTACTTTTGAGGTGAGGTGTTGCTAAGTTCTTCAGGTTGGCCTTGAACTGGCAATCCTCCTGCCTCAGCTTACCAAGTAGCGGGGATTGCAGGTGTGTGTCCCCTCGCAGTGCTACTTCCAGGCTTTTAAAATTATATTATAATACTATATTTTATAATATATAAAATTGCATAGTGCTCAACTTAATGGGTATATTGTCACTTTACCAGCAACCAGTTGATGTGTTTTTCGGTTGTTTCCAATCTTTTCCAATTACAAACCATCTTGCATTTTGATCATGTCATTTCCTGTAATGGAAATTTGGATTGTAAATTCATATGTTTTGCAGTTAACAAGCAAATGAGTACACCTAAGTAGCTTCTGAGTGGATATAAAAGGAAATATGGCCCACTAGAGGTCTCTTTCAGGGTCCCTTCAGACTTGACTTTCATGTCTCTAGAAATCCACCTTATTATGTGTACTTTAATGCACCCTATTCCTTGGGATTCAAATCTAGTATCAGGGCGGAATTCTTGCAGTTCTGCTCGCTAACCAAGTACAATCCCTGAATGCAACTTGAATGGAAACCTGTTCTGTGCACTTTTCCTCACGGTGAAGGGAGCTTCTGCCGTGACACAGAGACGACTGCTGGTCACGTGTATCTTGACTGCCTGTCAGTGTGCTCCCTGGCGCTCAGGAGGAATTTCAGTTCCAGAGATACACGAGGACGTGTGGTTGTAACGTAAGAACTGACCTGTCTTCTCATCCACTGTCAGGTGAATATTCTTACTGAAATTCTCAAAATCCTTCTCATCCTAACTCAGGCAAACTCAGCGTTCCCACTGTAATGGCCTCTGCACAGCTGCCCTTCCCCGTACCTCCCATTTATCCAGGCAACTGGGCAGAGTAACAACTTTGCTGCCGAAGCCCCTCTAAATCCACTGCTCTTCCAAAGATCAGGCTCGATGTGTCGTTTGTGGGAGGTGATACATTCTTTAGCTTCCTTGAAATTAACATTGAAGAGTATATATTTGGAAAGGGCTTGCGTAATCCATCCAATTAATAGGGAATTTCAGTAGTATATATGAAAATAATCAGAAAGTAACACTTCCAGACCTTAAATAGATACGATTTACTTTCTCCCAGCTATCTTTCTCAAAGGAAAATATGACAGTTTAATATTTATATTTATACGACTCATAAATGACAGAGTAGAGTCAAGCATAAAACCGAGGTTTTCCCCCTGGAGACCGGTGCTTTGAGTGAGCTGACAACTTTCAGCGTGATGGAAGAGTGTTGAGCGGCCGAGGGATAAGATCCAAGCGCGAGGAATTCTGTCTTATCTGGATTCAATTTTGAAACTTTTGGCGATTTCCCCACAGTAAGTCAGTCAGCCAAATAAACAGATCCACCGTAAAGAGCGTGTATAAGATTGCGTGAAGCAAAGCAAATTATCTGCATGTCATCTGTGTGTACGTGGCCGGGCAGAGCGCGTCTCCCACAGCCGTGTGCATGCTAATGCGCACGTCTCCACCGGATTCAGATCTAAGCCGTGAGGGACCCTGTGACGCAAGGGACGGAATCTGATGACAAGTCCTATCTGAAAGAAACTGGAGTTAAGTAAGAAACAAAACCAACAAATAACGCCAAATAGACCAGTGTAGGGTAGAAATGAATTTTAATAAATTTACTGTGGGAAGGCAGCAGCTGCCCAGCCAAAAGGCGTAGGAGAAGCAATTCTATAAAGAGCCAGAGTGTCAGCAAGAAGCCGGAGCATTTCTAACTCTAAGAAGTGCAATTTATGTGCCATGAAAGGACAAAAATCCTGACTGAAATTCATTCTAGATCTGATGACAGTTAAGATATTCCTAGGCCTGATCACCAGTTACTTTCTTCCATTGCTCTTAGTTAAATTTAAAAAGTAAGGTGATGTAAGTTAATCATATTGTCCTTTGTGAGCAGGACTTTGTCTTTTTAAGGAAGAGTTACAATTGTAGATTCTAAACATGATGGCAATTTAGTAGAAGTCAGAGATTAACTACGAGGGTTAAACTAAAGCAACAATACTGAAAGCGGCCTTTCCCAGTGAGGAAGGCCAAGGATTAGGGACGGGAAGTGGCTGGCTAAAGCTTCAGGATAATATCATTTAAATCCTCAACAGAAAGCAAATTAAACTGCAAGAAATCTTGATTGTGAGATTTATATGGACTAAAGGATACAAAATAGATTTAAAACTTCTAAGAATTCATACGTGTTGAGAATCAAAAAATCCCATCAGAGTAAATATTGAAATCTCTTAGAATAAGCAATTTCAGAGACTTTAGGGTGACAGATCCAAAACTAATTGAAAGAATTCCAGAAAAGAGGATCAGACTATCATATCAGGCAGAGAGACAAGCAAAGGTGCAAAGGACAGAAATTTAAAGGCACCACATGGCGTTTGACTGTATACCGTGTATTGTTCTTTCTTATAATTTATACTAAATTCTGTATTCAGATGAAAACAATTATTAATAACCTGTATCTTTTTGCATCAGGACTAAAACAGATTCATCTACTAGTCTGTATTTTTTACCTACACTTCTTAAGAAAAAAACACATTAGCTGCGTGCATCTTTCTTTGCTTTTTTTATTCCCGTACAGGATGTCGGGTATTACATATCTTTACCATCCAACCTTTTCTGATACCTCAGTACAAGCAGAGTACAAAATATCATAAGTATTGCAAATAATGGTCATTATTTTAAAGGCATAGAATTAGAGCGACAGAAGACTGGATTTTTTAAATGGATGTCTAGTACATAGGACCTAATCATCACCATCTGACATTTGTAGGTAGGATATATTTGGTGACCAAAATACTTGACAGATTTTCTTTTAAGTGTGAAATAAAAGCCTGGTGTTCAAAAGAGCCACGAGGACTAATGGAAATCTGACTGATTTTTTTAGAGGGGAACAAAAGAGATCTGTGAAGCTGTCACCTTTACCAGCACTTCAAGGGACACAGAAAAAACCAGAACACTCTCAGGACAAGTTTCAGGGCAAGCTAAACACATCACCTCAGGTTGTCTGAATTTCCATCAATGTTAAAAGTCCCCTATAAGGAAGGGTTGATCGTGCCATTGCCGTCCTGTGCAGGAATTGAGACACTTTTAGTTAACAGGACTCAGGAGAGTACACAATTGCCTGCAGTTAATTAGCTCCTAGTAGCTCGAATAGGTACATCCATTCTGTAGCATTCTGAGAAAGGATACAGAAAGAGATTTCAAAACACAAATGGTTTGAAGATACTCGTCCCTTCATCCACTCAATTCCATCAAAAAGAAAACACTGAGGGAAGTCTGCAAAACGCATGGGAGGGCTGTGCGATGCTCAGCATGACCTCATGCACTTTTCTAATTTGGACTCTTCTCTGAAACTGTGCAGCTTAATCTCGGGCAAACTAATGTAGAACTATGAGTGCACAGATGGGCCTGCACGGAGTCCTTGGGGAAGAGAAATGCAGTTTTGGGTGGCATTTAAATTCCAAGAGGAAGCCCCTTACGAGAAGCTGATGTATTATGTACGGTTTGTAAAAACTGCCAAATGGGGTTAAATGTCAGAGCACGTGTGTGCGCAGAGGCACAGACATTGCAACACCTACAGATCGATCAGCCAATTCCTTTCACTCAGTGAAAGAAGTAACAGAAAATGTGGGCAACTGGCATCCCGCACACATACTGTCACCCACACTGCCTACAGCGACAGGAGCAGAACCCGCCATCCCGCAGCAACCTCTTTCATGTTTAAGTGCAGACCACAGAGTGAGCGGAAGTCCAGGTGAGCAACTGCAGCTACGTACCAAGGTACCAGGCCCAGTCAGTTCAGCAGAGGCAGTAAGGAGCAGTAGCTACAGGTCCTAAGGATATCATTGTCTGAAGCCATGTTCTCCCGGAGCTCATTAGACATTCCATTCATAATGGCATAATGGGAAGAACGTGATCAGAGTTTGTTTCGAGAAAATTAAAAACTAAACTCTCTAGGGCTGTCTTTCATACAATATTTATTGTTGATGAAGTCTCTGTTTTATTTTCATTGTATTCTGCGCGGTTATAGCTTCCTAATATGAGTTCTCCAAGCCCCTGGGGTATTTTTGTTGATTAGGGTGACATCTACTGGTGGAAATAGTGATCTTCTCAAATAGTCTTGTAAGAATCACACCAAACAAGTTTGATTTGGACATAAAGAAAGCTCTTTTACCTCTTCAGCTAATATAATACTTAACAACACCTTAGAGGAGATGCATAAGATTTCTTTATAAAGAACCTAGAATTGGTTAATTTTGCACCATTTCTCCTTGTGATTATAGTCTTTTTCACAAGAATAGCTACTTTCTGAGAAATGTTCTGTCTTCGGTTCAGTCATTGTCATACGAATGTGCTATCATTCAATCCTAATACCTAAGATGTTTTTTCTTGCTTCCATGACATTTGTGTAACAGTGACAAAGGCTAAAGCAGGAAAAGGAAATGATACCAGTTCCACTGAATTTTTATCATTTTAAATTCTCATTTCGTACTCCTTTCATGGTTTCTTTCCTCTTAAAAAGTAAGGACTGAAGGAAGGAAAAGAAATGGAAAAATACCAGGTTTAGGAAACCACACCTCTGCTGTGCATCTTTTTAATGGTTCGCCTTCAGGTTTAAGGCACGGAGAGAAATCGCTGCTGGAGACACCAAAGCCAAGGAAGTGCGAGTCGGGTCCACTCACAAACCTACAGCAGGAACAATGCTTTGCGAAAGTCGAGGTGTGATGCAGGCTGTGAGTGACATCCTACCGCAGAGTGAATGACTGAATACAGTGTACCTTGTACACAACCCAGTGCTAAAACTACAAGGGCCTCTTATTGTACCTTCCTCAGACCCATTGCTTCCAGTCTTCTCTAATACATAAAATTTTAAAACATTAAAAGTTCCAGACTTTCAATTATATTGTCTTTTTTTTCCTTTTATCATTCCAGAACATTTTTTGTAGTTCTTATAAACTGGAGGTGAAAAGCTGGATTAGCAGCGAAGTCTTAAAAATTTTTTGTTCAATAAAACATGATTTGAAAGAGTAAATTTAATATAACCTTAAAGATAAGTGATAAAATGTATGTTGAATATATATTGCACCCCTTGAGCTAATTTAAATAAGTTATAAATAGGGACTTTTCTTTTAAAAAGTCAATAAAACTTCCTAAACGTTTTATTTCATGGGAATGTGCTCCCATAGGCTTTTCCTTGCATTGCCATGTGGCCATGTGTTGGAATATAGTTTCTGTGCATTTCTTTAACACTTCTTTCAAATACAGAAGATCACTAGATGAATTAATATGTAAACAAAGCAATTTTTCTTAAGAGTATAAAATCTGCCTATACAGATGTTATTGTAAGAAAATAAATATTATCCAGAGTAAAAGATGTGCTACCTTAAAATTGATTTGCAAAAGCAGAAACAGATGCACAACTTACTTGCTCATCAAATCTCACCTTCAGTACTTCTCTTGTTAATAACTATACCATGTGCCAAAGAGGTAATATTTCCTAAAACATATTTAACAACCGAAATTTCTTTTTTATAGTATTTCAGGAAAAGAGGAGAAGCCCCATTGTTCCCACGCAATTAATATTATTTGTAACTGGAAGATTTTCTATGTTCGATAATTAAATGAGGAGTGAGAAATTATTTTGTTCAATTGTAGAAGTTACTTTGATTTCTTGTAAAAATGTTGTTAGACTATAATTATGGCACAGAAGTGTGAAACCAGGATGGATGCACGGTGTTTACTGTGATGATGCTAAACCAGGGTAGAACAGCACATCAGTATTCAAAATCACAGAGCACGTAGGCACGTTGTACTGCGCGGCTCCTACCGGCACACGGTGCGGGCTGACGAAGGGCTGCTTGGAGATCTCTCTGAGGTTGTGAGTCTCCATCTCGATTCAGTTTTTTGGACAAGATAAAAATCCTTATTTACAGATATTCTCTTTCTTCTCCATCCCAATTCAGTTTGAGACTAACCTGCAGTTTCTTTGGGTTCTGGGAAGCATAACTCAGTAGGCAACTTTGCGGATTCTCGCAGTCCCAGCCCCGGGAGGTTCGTTTCACGGTGTAGCAAGTAACGCCCTCACGTTTTCAGTGTTGTGTTTTGGTGAATTTCCAGTGCTTTTTATTCCCACACTATGGCTATGAGATAACTGCTGTTGACTAATCAAACATATCACTCAATCACTGTCAAAGGTTATTTGGCTAAATAAACATAAAGTAATGTTAAAATAAGAGTATTAAGAAAATTTAGATATATTTAGAATGGTGAAAAATTTCAAGTATATAACTGTGTTTTATCAATGAGGAAACTCCTTCCATTTTGCTGTTTGCATCATCTCTGAAGAGATTTTCATTATTATTTTTTCTGGGGGATCAGACAATACCATTACGTAAAATTGGAGACTTCACTTTTAAAGCTGTAAGTTGCCTTTTCTTTCTACAAGCTGTAAAACTTTAATATCAGTGTACAGCACTTGAAAATGATATTCACTGGCTTAGAGTACACTCCTTAGCAGATGATGAGTGGTTTTTTGTTTTAAAAATCTTTTTTGTTAGTACATGTTAGTGATATATATTGAACACATACCTGTGGGGAGTTGGTACACACATATAATTGCATTTTTTATCCTTTTCATTCCACTTCTCTTCTCCTCCCTCCCTGCTTGCATCCCAATCATTTCTTCCCTTTGAAAGTACCATTTACACAAGTATGCACTGGTTAATTAGAGAATATTAGGTCCTCAGCTTATGCAGTTAATCTAAAGTTACACTATACAGCATCAGAAAAAGTGTAACATTTATCAAGATAATATCATGTAAATACTACTATAAAATCTAGAAAGCATCCAGTTCTTTTTGTTTTATTTTGTTTTGTTTTGGTTTTTTTTTTGCTGTACAGGGGATCAAACTCAGGACCTTGTGCTTGCCAGGCAGGAGCTTGTACCACTGAGTTATATCCTCAGCCCCTAGCATTCAGTTTTATCATGGCAGAATCAGATGCTTGAAATCTAAATTTTTGCTTGTTTGAAAATTTGTAGGAGAAACTTTCGTGAAGTTCTAATGCTTTATTTTCAAACAAATATGTTTCAAATATTTGTCCAATTTTTAATTTTGTGTATCAGTCATTCCTTCAAGGAAAAATGATACTACCTCAGAAATGTTGCTAATTCAGCTTGAATCTCAATCACTGAGAGCTTATTTCAATACAACACGTGTAGTACAACTGAAGGAGTTAAATAAGAAAAAAAGATTTCTACACCTCTCAGTGTTGATGTCTATGTTCTACACGCATGCAGGAAAATAAGTATGTGTTCAACTTTTTTAAAATAAATCAATCTAATTTTGCTTTTGGTTTTATATCTTTACAAGACAATTACAAAGATAAAATTTGCAAAAGCACACCCTTTAATGTATTACTCTATTAATCAATAATTACCATTCTACAGAACAAAAAGGCAATCAAGTACATATTGCTTTTTTGTTTTGTTTCATTTTTGCAAATTTGTGGCTGATTCTTTGGAGTATTTTTTATTTATAAAATTTTGTGTTTTTCAGGATGCATTGTTTGTTTTAAACGTTACTGAGTACCCACCATCCATAGTCTTTTCCCAGTGTACAAGTGCATGTGTATTCTAGTGTCAGATCGGGCCGCTTTCAGTCTCATAAAATGAGTAAATGGAGAGGTAGATAAATAGATACAAGCTAATAAGCATAAAAATATAAGCTTCTAATTATATCTGTACATTTTGAAATCTTACTGAAAATCTTACACTAGTTTCAATTTTCCACACCAAATTTAAAATTTTTGTATATATAAATTATATATTTATATATGATATATTATTTATAATTATTTATTTATGGTGTACTAATTATATATTTATTTTTTAGATAAAGGAGATATATTTATATATTTATATAGATATATTTATATAGATATATAGATATATTAGATATATATTTATATAGATATATAGATATAAATATATAGATATATTTATATCTCCTTTATAGATATATAAATATAAATATAACTCCTTTATCTCAGTACTTTCCTTATCTGGAGGTAGGAAGAGGAAGTCTATCTGTGCATGCCAACAGTTATCCTTTTATTTCATTATTTATTTTTAATTTTTTATGTCAAATAATTTACTTGAACATGAAACTAAGATATACCAAAACAATGCTCATTAAAATAATAAAATGGTGCTTTTTGACACAGTGTGTCATCGGAAAAGGTCCTCACCTTCTTCAATCACTAAGGACAATCCAAAGGCTATAAAGCATTTCTGTTGTAATACTACAAAATTAGTGACCATTATTTCTCAAAGGTTTGCACAGCATTTTGACCACATAGTATTCGATTGCGTTATCCTGAATACATCACTGTCCACTGGAAAAACATTCTGCTAGGCATTTTCGTATCACACAGGACAAAATGTCTGCCTTGTTAATGAAGGCAGGATTAATATACCATTCTAATTTTCAGGAGCAAAGATGGATAGTATTGTGGTACCTTTTTCATTAGTAACAGTTGCTTAGGTAATACTTTTCCGGCAGGCGAAAAGTAGCATCATATGCTGGAATAAGCCTAATAAGCTTCGATGAGGGAGATCAGCGTTCTCATTTCCCCTCATCCATCCTGGGGAATTCAGTGTGCCCACCAGTACATGAGAAGGTGCTCTGGTATGCGTGCGCAAAACGTGTGCAGTGGGTTAAGGTTTCCCTGAATCACACAGACAAAAGCAAAAAT